ACACTAACTGAAAGCTAAAAGAAGCTAAACACTAACTGAAAGCTAAATGGTGCAAAAGGTGAGCCAAAACCTGAAACTGACAAAAAGGTAGCTAAAAGAGTAACAAAAAAGTAGCAACATGCTACCTTAAAAATAGCTGAACTATAGCTAAGTGCTAAAAGTGGATAAAGGCTAGCTCTAAACTAAAAGTGGCAACAGGATAGCTGTATGCTAAAAGTAGAAAAAGGTTAGTTGGAAGCTAAAGTAGCCAAATATTAGCTAGAAGCAAAACAATAAAAAACTCAAAGGACCTAAAAGCTAAAAGGAGAATGTAGCAAAAGGCTAGCTAAATGCTGAAAGTGACTAACTGAAAGTGTCAAAAGGCTAGAAGATAAAAGTAGCTAAAAGCTACCTCCAGAGAAGTATCAGAGCTCCAGATAAAACAGAATCAATTTGATGAAGAAGAGTTCAAACAGAACATTTATGAACCCTGAAGATCTTTGTGTTTGTCTAAATTCTACATAAAGTTAAATATTTTGAAAAGTACAAAAGTCGTAGCACCCATCGACTAAATGAGCCAAACGTTTTGATTTATTAACGGCTAAAATAACACAAAGTCGACTGAAGTAGCTGGGCTGAAAAATAAAAAAATAAACGTGTATTAAATGTTGAATCAGCACTTACTGGTCTAAAACAGTTTTGTTCTTTAAAAAGAGACTGAAGTTGGTAACTGTTTGGTTTTACTTGCAAATATTAAAATATATATTAAATTAATGTCATCTGGACCCACCTGTCCTCAGCAGAGTCTCCACCACCTCCACGTGCCCCCCCTGAGCAGCCAGGGCCAGAGGCGTCAGGCCGTAGCTGCTGCGGGGGTCCGGGTGCGCTCCGGCCCCCAGCAGCAGGGCCACCAGACCCGCTCTGCCCAGCTTGGACGCTTCGTGGAGGGGCCGGCGGGCGTGGCAGCCCGTCTGGTCCACGTTGGATCCACGCAGCAGCAGCAGCTTCACCAGGTCGGCGCGGTCCGAGCGGATCGCTGCGGAGACAGAACCAGAAGAAGGAGCGACCGCCCCAGGAGTCCGTCAGGAAACGAGGCTTCACTTCTGTCAGCGAGTGACACCGCATCGATGCAGAAACAAATATCCAATGACCTCAGTCTGCAGAACTTCAGCCTCTGAGCTGGAAGTTAGCTTCTAAACAAAGTGTATCAGAATTGTATTGATAAACTGTATCGATGTATTGATTGTATCGGAACATTCAATGATGACAACATATAGCACTTATTATTACATTAATCATTAAATTAGAGTTCTGTAGTCGAACACAGAGTCTTGTAGCCGAGCACAGAGTTCTGTAGCCGAACACAGAGTCTTGTAGCCGAGCACAGAGTCTTGTAGCCGAACACAGAGTTCTGTAGTTGAGCACAGAGTTCTGTAGCCGAACACAGAGTTCTGTAGCCGAACACAGAGTCCTGTAGTCGAACACAGAGTCCTGTAGTCGAGCACAGAGTCCTGTAGCCGAACACAGAGTCCTGTAGCCGAACACAGAGTTCTGTAGCCGAACACAGAGT